AGACAAAATATATAGACAATGAAATTCATGGGTTTTGGCCCTTTGCACTTTAGCTTGACGTGCAAGTAGGTGCATAATGACTATGCTTAGCCATGCATTGGTCGACCAAGACTCGTCAGGCTTGATTGTCTCATCTTGTCCTGTTCAATTGTCTTCTTCTAGTATTCTATTAATGTGTATTGACTTATATCGATATATTAATTTTCGTGTAAAAGGAAAATATCTTTTAATGTTTCTGGAATAATATTTAAGAGAGCCTTTACATTTTCTTTTGGTGTATTGGGGTTGATGGCTTGCTTTGTTATTTTTATAATATATTTTAATTAATGTTTTTGGTAAATTTAAGATAATATCATAGCATTATTAAACATTATCTTACCAAAATACATTTTTAGAATGAAGCTATATATAAGATGTCATTAATTTGAATAATTTGATAAAGGTAAATCTGATGTGTGATCTGCATTCTTTCTGTGATGTGAGGTTAACGAACCCCACAAAAGGTGTAAAGCCATAAAGGTAGGCTGTCGACCTAACGTTAGCCCAAAAGAAGTCTTTAAAGGCCCGTTCTTGTTAGAAGGAAAATAATAGTGTTTGTAGTAGGATTGAATTGAAATGATTATAGTTTAAAATATACTCCAATTAGTTATGTTTGTTAACTATTGTTTTAGATCAATAAAAAGTTTATGTAGGCTTTATAAATAATTTTCTTTTGATTATTACCATTATATCCGTTACATCAAATTATATGTACTATTTTGGTTGATAAACAATTTGTCTTATATATAAGGTTAGGTTCATTTGAGACCACCTATATTTTGTGAGACTGTGAGACGTATTTTTTTTTATTTTTTTTATTTTTTTTTAATTTATTATTATTATTTTTTTATTTTTTTTAGTTAATTCATGTTCCGAAAATAATATTTAAAAAAAGAATTTTTTGATTTTTCCATTTATTTTGCATTTTAAAATTATTTTTAGAATATGTACAGTGTAATATTCTATTTAGAATATTTCACGTATTTAAAAAAAAAAAATAGAATTATTTTTATTTATTTTTTATTTTTTTTAGTTAATTCAAGTTCCGAAAATAATATTTAAAAAAAGAATTTTTAGATTTTTTCATTTATTTTGCATTTTAAAATTATTTTTTAGAATATGTCAGTGTAATATTCTATTTAGAATATTTCACGTATTTTTCAAAAACAAAACGGAATTTTTTTTATTTATTTTTATTTTTTTAATATTTTTTTTAGTTAATTCAAGTTCCGAAAATAATATTTAGAAAAAGAATTTTTGGATTTTTCCATTTATTTTGCATTTTAAAATTATTTTTAGATTTGATCTCACGGTCTCACAAAATTAGAATGGTCTCAAATGAACCTGAACCTTATATATATATATATATATATATATATATATATATATATATATATATATATATATATATATATATATATATATATATATAACATCATTTCATGTGTTTTTATATTGCTATAACTGAGTTTTAATCTTTATTATCAATAGTAACAAAATGATAATATCTTATATATTATTTTGTATTTTTATGTATAGTATTCATATTACAATTACAGTATAATAGAGATAACATAAAGATTGTCAACTATATTTGGTTATGAGTTGAAATATTTTTTTGTTTGTAATTTATTCTTACAATTTGTAGAGATAACGTAGCGATATGTCAACTATCTCCGTTACGAGCTGAATTAATTTTTTTGTAATTTATTATTACAGTTTGTAAAGATAACATAACAATATGTCGAAGTATTTTGGACAGCTTAAAAAAAGAATAAAATAATTCCGGTTGAATAAATAATATTGTTTGTTTGTGCTTGCTTTTGGCTTTTGATGGTTGATTTATATACATCATCAGCATATATTTCAGATTTCAATCATTTAGTTAAATCAAAGACATTAAGAAAATGATTACAATTTGTTTTGCATCTGCTTGTGATGGATGATAATAAAAACAAATATCAGTAATAATTTCATAAATGGTATATGAAATAAAAACCAATTGTTCAAGAACTTTAGATGTACAAGAAAAAACAGTTCAACAAAATATTGTTTTTTGACTTGAGTAAACATGCTATAAGGCCGGTTATAATGACCTTATAAAATAACTTCCTAAGTCCTAACACTTGACATAATTAATCGGAGTATTTCAACTTTTTTTCTTTAAGAAAATATAAAACATTATGGAATAAATTGTCTGTAATTCTATATGTGTTTGCTAGAGTAATACATTATGAGAATGAATATTATAATCTATAAGATTGTTTAGTTTCTTATTTTGAAAACAATAACATATTCTATAAACTGATAAGTTTTTTACATAACAACAGAGAAATAACAAGTAACAAATAATTAACATGTTTTTAATAATAAGTGTTAATTCAAAAATCTGAGGGATGTACGATATATCAAACCATAAACAAAAATATAACGAAAATTTGATTGAAAATCAGGACATAAAATCTCCATATAAACTCACAAAATTTTTATGAGTGGTGTTGCTTTCATATGCTTGTGCTTTGTGATAAGAATTGTTTTATTGTAAATACTATAATTAAAAATCACAACGCAATTCCAATAATATGTAGTCGTAGATTATAACTATAACTTTTGAAAAATCTCAACCATCCGAACTCGTTTAAATCTCATTAAGTATTTTAAATAACACATGTTACATCACGCGAACATTAGTTTCTTCATGCACTTATTTATATTTGGTGCTTATTCTTTTTATTTCCAACTTTAAATAAAGTTATATTATTCCTAAGTTGAGATGTATCAAATAAATGATTTAAAAATCGATTGTTGTTCTTTTTATGTCATAATGATAGTTAAATATAATGGAATTTCGATTATAAAAAATAAACTGTAGTCTATAGCTCAATTTTTTTTTTTCTATAGCCTTTTGATCATCAAGTTATCGAATAAGTAAAAGCATGGGCCATAATTTATCAAAATAATTTATCGTACCTTTTGCGTAAAACATTGATTTTAAGATTTGGCATATAACCTAGTTTTTTATTCAAGTTTTTAATATTTTCAAACATGTCTTTATTCCATATAATATAATACAACAAACACTTATCTCCAATACTAACAATTTCAAAACTTACCAAGCTCTACATCCCTTTTGGCTTCATCAATAAAAGTTTCAAATCTTCTAAATACCCTTCAAATAATATTTATTAGATAACATTTCACAATTATTCACAAATGGTTTCCAAAATATATCGCTTTCAGGAAATTAGCGATAACGATATGCCAGTGGTCCTTATGGTTGCAAAAATTTGTTTGGTTGATCCTTTTGGTCATCTCCCTTGATAATTGATCGTTAAGTATATATAAAATACATGTTTACCCTTCTTTTTATTTTTCATATTTGGTCCAAGGGTATATCTATCAAGTTAAAAAGTAATACTTTAAAAGTTAGATTTAACGTATGAAGGACCACATTGTCTAGAAAGTGATCCTTTTGGCCATCTTCCTTGATAATTGATCGTTAAGTATATGTAAAATAGTTTGAGAGACACAAATATTTTTTTGTAATTCATACAACATTCGTCTAAAATAGTTTGAGAGACACAACAATAATTGACTTTCGTATTCGAAGGAAGTCATCAACCATCGGCAAACATGGCATTGATATATGTATAATTGTAACTCAAAACAATTCATTCTCATAAAACATAAATATATGGATAGAGTACATTTTGCATTTCTTTTATAACCCTAATACTAAAAAAAAAACTATCAATAGAGTACATTTTGGAATCATTTGTAACTCTAATACCAGAGTAAAGAAATTATATCTAAATAATAACTATTCTAATCTAAACAACATGATAAATTTAATTGTTAAAATCAATTGACAACTTAGCCGATAGTTTTTCATTTTGAATGCAAGTCTATCATTAGATAGTTTTTCATTTTGAATGCAAGTCTATCATTAGATAACATTTTAAGGCTGAGGGGAGTGATATAGAGGTCACCGAATTCCATCTCAGTCAAATATTGTCTACATGATCCAAAACTTATGCTAAAAGGAGAAAGAGTCAGCATACGAATGATGAACAACACGTATTTTCTTGCTTTGCCATGGAGCTAGAGCTCGACATGTCCATGCCAACAAGGATGCCAAACTTCTTAACACCTTGGAGCTTAGTGAACAATGGATGATAATTCCTATTTCCTTAGGACATAGACCTACGTATGTACCATTGTCCACCAAAGTTTTTCATGCCTATTGCTTCGATATACTTAGGGTTTGTGAAAAGAATTGTTAGATTGTAAATTCTATAATTCCAATAACAATAATTCCAATAATATGTAGACTACCACTACTTTCGAAAAATTTCAACCGACCGAACACGTTTAAATTTCATCAAGCATTTTTAAATAACATTAATTTTTTCATGCATTTAATTATATTAGGTACTTATTCCTTTTCTTTTAACTTTAAATAAAGTTATATTATTCCTAAGTTGAAATATATCAAAAAAATATACTATAGCCCAGAATTTTTTCTATAGCCTTTCGATCATCAAAGAATCGAATAGGTAAAAAAGCACGGGCTAGAATTTTAACAAAATAATTTATTATTCCTTTTGCCTACAAACATTGTTTATGAGATTTGGCATATAAACTAGTTTTTTATTCAATTTTTCAATATTTCAAACATGTCTTTATTCAATATATATACAATATCACCTGATTAAACAATTGCTGATAATTTTATTATGAAGCAATAATTGACTTGTCATGGGTGATATTTGCCTGACTTTCGAAAGAATAAAAATATTTAATTTCTAATTAAAAATTAACCAAAGTTAAGTTATAGTATTAATCTGAGATTAGGAAACAAGAAAAATAAAAATCGTACTAATTTAGATTTGTTTTATAATTTAATATTAAAGATGCGATTTGTTTGTTATAAAAAATGCTAAAATTCTGAATCTAAAACAACTCATCTTATGCTTTGCGTCGGCATTCAGTCAGACCAACGACAAAACAGCAGGAAGCGTCATATCTCCGTTCTCCACCCGATCATTTTTCATCCAACGTTCATCAACCTTTTGACTACCTTTTGCATGCTTGCCACGTAGTCAAATGATGTGATTCCCCCAAAAAAAACACACACTATTCCCCTTCCCCCCTTTCTTACCTGAAATTCGCTGATATGGAACTCCGGCTTCTCACCTCCTCCACACCCAAAACTTCTCTATATGGTCTCTGATTCGCGACTTTCAAACTTCAATTCGAAGATCTTTACTTGCTTCACCACTGGATCTTGCTATTTATCTCCGATTTTCTTAGGGTTGATGCAAAACCTATCTGGGATTTGATTCGATTCGATTCAGTTCAGCAGGTGAGCTCTTCCGTGCATATTTTTTTTTGTGAATTTGAATCTCCATTGAGTTTTACATCAATTGGATTTTATTTGTTCTTGTTCGTAAGCGTTTTGCTGATTCGTTAGTTTAAAATCTGTAAAACGCACACATGATTGACGGTTTAAGCGGAATAATTTTGAGTAACGTCATCGGAGATTAATTAGGATGTTATAATTTCGCACCTGGATTTTTAGATTGTTATTTGCTACATATTTCTGTGGATTTAGATTGGATGCTTGAGGATGAATGTAAAACGAGTATAGTTTTTTAGTTGGAATCCGATGTTAATTGAACTACCTGGCTTGAAGTCTTCAGGTAGTATGGGAGGCCATCTTACGGTCAAAGTCAATTGCTTAGATATATTCAATAGCAGTCACAGTGTTCAATGCATATGAATGGAAAGTGGTTTGATTTCCCTAGTTATTTTAGAATAATATTTTAAACACGAATGGATAGAGATCACTCAGATTTTTTCAATTGTATATTCTTTTTGTATCTAGTAGTTAATTACTCCAGGATATAATACAATATCTATTTGTTTCATCCAAAGTTTCAATCACTGCTTCTTATGGTCAGTCGATTCTTACAATGTCTGCTTTTACTATTCAAACACAATCTCCCATGTTGTAAGTTGAGTTCTTTAGATCTGTATCAAAACATATCTTACTTTTAGTTTTAGATTTTTATATATCTTCATTATTATAATCATATCATGACCTGATGGTTTTCAGGATGAGTCAGGAGATAAAGTTACATGGAGATGTTTACTTTGGTAATGTCAAGGGTAAACTCCCCCATGGCATGGGTAGCTACACATGGTCAGATGGCACAGTTTATGATGGGAATTGGGAAGATGGAAAGATGTGTGGTAGAGGTCGAATCTCATGGTCATCTGGAACAAGTTATGAGGGTGATTTTTCTGGTGGATATCTCCATGGTTTTGGCAAATTAACAACTCCTGATGGATCTGTATACAAAGGGTCATGGAGATTGAACATTCAAAATGGTGTTGGAAGAAAGGAGTATAGTAATTCCGATGTTTATGATGGTTGTTGGAAAGATGGAGTTCATGAAGGAAGTGGAAAGTACGCTTGGGGGAATGGAAACACGTATATAGGGAACTGGAAATCTGGTAAAATGTTTGGTAGAGGGGTAATGAAATGGGTAAATGGTGACCTTTTTGATGGATCTTGGTTAAACGGGTATAGACATGGGTCGGGTGTTTATAGGTTTTCAGATGGTAGTTACTATTTTGGGACATGGACAAAAGGGCTTAAAGATGGTCAAGGCACATTTTATCCTGCAGGAAGTAAATGCTCATCTTTTAGAAAGAAAGCTCATTCTCAAAGATTCAGGGATCCAGAACGTAATGTTACTCGAACTTATTCTGAAAAAATTACTTTTAGTAGTTTTTTTAGAGAGTCGGGTCGTATAACAAGCAGGAGAATCCCGCCGGATGACGATTATACCCTTGGGGATTCCACTAGAGAGTTTTCTACTTCTGAGAGAACAGAAATGTTTTCTCATATCTCAGATGAAGGTGAAAGTGAAGTAGATGATGATAGTACTGTGGCATGGGAAAGGGAGTACATGCAAGGCGTTTTAATGAAAGAACGTGTTAAGAATCATTCAGGGGCGTTATCGTCCAAAAGCAAACAAAATAAACGTATCACAAACGAATCGAAACAGAAATCATGTGTGGATATTTTTGAAGGTCATAAAAGCTACTGTTTGATGCTCAATCTTCAACTAGGCATCAGGTAAATAAACCATACCTGAACACCTCATTTTTTTTTTTTAATATCTTTCAAGATTGTGGTTTTTGTTTACTAATTATTTTTATTACCACAACACAACTCATGTGTTGTATCATTTGAAGTTCACAGGTACACAGTTGGCAAGATTACACCAGTTCCTATGCGTGAAGTGAGGTCTTCAGACTTTGGGGAACGTGCTAGAATAAGGATGTATTTCCCAAGAAAAGGCTCACAATTTACACCTCCACACTACTCTGTTGACTTTCATTGGAAAGACTACTGTCCCATGGTCTTCAGGTATCTGTTTGTATGCAAATATAGCACAAAAATGTAAAGGGTAGATTTGTAATTTTATGGTAGATTGTGATGGGTGTTTCTCTTCAGGAATTTGAGAGAGATGTTTAAGTTAGACGCTGCAGAGTATATGATGTCAATCTGTGGGGATGATGGATTGAGAGAGCTTTCTTCTCCAGGGAAAAGTGGCAGCTTATTTTATCTCTCTCATGATGACAGATTTGTAATCAAGACTCTAAGAAGATCTGAGCTCAAGGTTTCATATTATTTTTACAAGTATAATCTAATTATTGAGTTAAAGTTGCAGAGAATTAAATATGATATTATTTGTGTAGGTTCTGTTGAAGATGCTTCCTAGCTATTATGATCATGTTAAAAAGTATGACAACACTTTGATCACCAAGTTTTTTGGACTCCACGAGATAACACTAAGAGGTGGCAAGAAGGTATATTTTGTTTTCCGATTCATGTGTAGTTTATTTATTTTAGTTTAATGTGATTTACAAATTTTATTTTGTTTTAGGTGCGGTTTATAGTGATGGGAAATATGTTCAAAACAGAATTACGGATACACAGGAGGTATGATCTGAAGGGTTCATATCAAGGAAGATTTACATGTAAGGATCATATAGACGAAGGCACCACATTAAAAGACCTTGATCTTGCATATGAATTTCATATGGACAGGACATTGCGTGAGGCCCTTTTCGAGTAAGTCTATTATATTATATTTTATTATAATAAGTTGAAATAAATTATGATTTTAAACACAAGTATGATATTTTGCAGGCAAATCCAGCTAGACTGTTCGTTTTTAGAATCTCAGCAGATTATTGATTATAGTCTTCTACTTGGATTGCATTTTAGAGCTCCTGAGCATTTGAAGGCTCTATTGGAAGCACCAGATGCAGAGCATGGGTCTTCTTCATCTCTTGAATTCGATGATGGTAAATATCAATGTCAATTGTCTGTTCCTATTATCTTATATTTGTTGAAATTGAAAATTTAGGAACAATTTTTAATTTAGGTTCAAAATCGGGTGAGCTGTCAATCCCTCCAACGGGTCTTCTCCTAGTGACACATGAACCCAGTTCAGTGAACACTGCACCTGGTCCTCACATAAGAGGAAACACCTTAAGAGCATTTTCTGTAGGCGACAAAGAAGTCGATCTCCTTCTTCCAGGAACTGGAAGGTATTTAATACTATTTACATATAATCAAATTTCAATCGGATTTCTTTCTTTTCTTTATTTAAATTAATAATTACCTATTTATTATGTATCCAGATTACGAGTGCAATTAGGGGTAAACATGCCAGCTCAGGCAAACCGGAAAGTTTCACAAGAGGTTTCTGGTTCAACAGAGGTGGAGCTTTTTGAGGTATATGATGTTGTTCTATATCTTGGAATAATTGATATTCTACAAGATTATAACATGAGAAAGAAAATAGAGCAAGCCTGTAAATCCGTACGATATGATCCCAATTCAATATCTGTTGCTGATCCCAAATTTTACTCCAAACGTTTCATCAATTTTCTTCACAAGGTTTTTCCTGTTGATCCCTGAAACTCCATCAAGATTCTTTTATTATACCTATACCCCCCCAAGTATATAGTTTTTCCTTTTAATTAATATTATCCTTTTTCTTGTAACTTTTTATGTATCATATTCTCTCTCTTTTTTTTTTTTTTTTTTTTTTTTTGTTTTATTATTATGTAATAAACTAATTCAAGCCTATCTTGTTTCAATGCTACGCGGAAAAAAAATAGCTTTATAGGGTAGGGTGATGCAATAACTTTATAAAGTCTTGTTGCCAGTAAAAGGTCTTTATGGTCTTCCTTTTCTGTAAAAGTTATCAATCATCTTCTGGACAGCTACCTCCATTATTTTGCCTTTGAAAATTGAGGTGTCATCATTGTATCATAATTAAAAACTGCAACACATCAAAGGGTGCCCACATCAAATACTTGGAAGAGATTGTTAATTATGCCACCGTTTAAAATTTTGACGGTTTATTTTCATTAAAACATATGATTATAAGTTAAGGAAGTTCTTGAAGGATTTATGTATCAACTTACAACAGATTTCAAACAGATGAATAAAAACTCTTGTGTTATGTTGAGTTATCATTTATGATGTTAGATGGAGAAGTATGTGATGGATGCACACGCAAGACTTTTTATAGAAATATCTTGCTTCAGTTAAAAACTGCACAAATGTTTTTTTTTTTGTGTCAATACTACTTATAAAAGTAGGACAAGTACATAAAACAATTTTTTAGGGTTGCTGTAGTACCCCCAATGCCCCATCTGGCTCCGCTACTGTTCTCGGGGATGCTTTAGACCACATAAAGCCTTTTGTACCTTGTAGACTTTATCTTCGTCACCTTAAAAACATATCCGTCTGGTTGCTCCAGGTATATTGTTTCTTTCAAGATTTAAAGCAAGAACGCACTCTTTACGTCTATTTGAAAGATTATCCAGTTGTTTTGTGCGACAAGTGCTATAGTAACTTCTGAAATATGTCTCATCATGCTATAGGTGTAAACACTTCATCATAATCGTTGTCATACTTTTATGAGTAAACTCTCACAACTAGTCTCACTGTGTATTTGTCAACCTTTCCCTTTTCATTTAGCTTAGTTTTATAAACTCATTTAACTCTAATATTTCTCATTCAAGTTGGTTTTTTTTTGAACCGGTAAATGATATTAAAAATTATAAGGTCACACCTTATGATCTGATGAGTCAAACACATGATATGCTGATCTATGAGCGTCATCATCTTCAAGTCATCGGTGCCAGCATCTCAAGTTCAATAGCGTCAACTTTAGTATAGTTGTCTGATTGTAATCTTTTGTATATTATGCAATTATTATAGATAAATATAGAATAAGTATCAGATTCGTAATCTTGGTGATAAGGATCTGATCATTAGTATACATTAGACACAATCTCTTCAATCAAGAGATATACGTGTATAGATTAGTTTATATACAACATTAGGGCAAACCCTAATGTAGTAGTCGTAGATTAGTGATCATGGTTTTGCGTCAATCGTCTTTGTGACAAACACGTCTTCTTGGTGAAGACAAAACCTCTTTTCTTGGTGAAAGGAAAAATTGGAGAACTTTTGTGTTATTTACTTTCTGTTGATTATTTTGCTTAGATTAGTTTTTCTTTTCTTGTTCATACTTGAAGTATCTGATCAAATACAAACCTTCAAAAATAAAAGACAAACCAAGCAAGGAACTAGACAGGCACAAAACAATTACGAAATAAATTTTTTTTAATCATCTTATTTACAAGAAAATAGACAAATACTCCAATCTATCCATTTAAATGGACAACTCAATCTCCTATATTTGATCAAATTAAACACCATTGATTTGATACAGTCTGCCACCTTTGTTGGGTTGGTGATATAGTGTTTGTACAACCTTTCATTTTGGGCCTTCCATATGCACCATAATGATCCGTAACAGATATTCGTTAGTATATCCTTCTCTTTCTGTAGTTTTCCTATCTGGTAACATAATTAATAAGTTCCCCATAGAGTCTAGTTGAAGAAATGGAAACCGACACCACCCGAATACCCACTCCCAAACAGTGGTTGCGAATGGACATTTTAACAAAATATGATCAGTTTCTTCTTCCTCTGCCAAACAATACTTGCACAAGTTGGAACCAATGTTAACACCCCGCTTTGATAAAACAATAGCCAAAGGTAGTCGATTAAGATTTGCTATCCACACAAAGCATAACACTTTGATATGTATATCATTATTCCAGTCGACTAGTACATCCCCATATGACAATGATAGTTTATTAATTAGTCTCCTGAGTACATCAACTTCAAAAATACCATCTTTTTCTATAGCACAAGTCCATGTATCTGGTCTAGAATTTAGGTAGAATGATCCAATCATTGAGGCTAACACATTTATCTCCCCATTTAAATAAAACGACATCAGTAGTGTACTCCATGCCCATGAATTACCACCAGATTGTATTCGATCAAAAACAAAACATCTTTAATCTCTCCAGTTTATATAAATTAGGGAACTCGAATTTGAGAGAGCAATCTCTGATCCATGAGTCTAACCAAAACAACACATTTCCATTATTGTTTGTTATCTTTTTACTACATCAGACATGTTAAATATCAAACTTTGCCAGATCTTTTGCAATAACTGCAATATTATGCCAAACTCCAACACTCGTTTTCTATGACAGATAGTGATCATGTTTATGTATCCCAATCACCACACAACACCACATTGAGGAATTTTCAGTTCTCAGACGCCACCACCACTTCACCACGAGAGAAATTTTGAGAGCTCTAAGTGAGGTAACTCCAAGTCCCCAAGTTCTTTGGGGGCAACCACTCTTTCCCATGTCGATCACACCTATAGGAGCAACGAACAATGAAAAAAATAGTTAGGATGACTACTCTTTCCCATAACACTTTGTATTAATGTTATCCTCCCCCTGAATGCCAATGTCTTCGATTTCCATAACGAGAGTCTGGATTGAAATTTATCAATAATCAACTTCCAATTCTTTTTTAGATTCATATTTGCCCCAACAGGTACCCCGAGATAATTAAACGGAAGAGAAGATGACTCACAACCAAGAGGGGCAGCCCACCTAGTTATTTCTTGCAGCGTAGCACCAATACCACACACTCTTGATTTGTAGAATTTAACTTTAAGTCCCAAGGATACATAGACACATCTAAGGATTCTAGATTTTTTTTAAATGTTTTCCTTTGACCATTAACAGATAAATAGTGCATTATTGGCATAAAATAAATGAAAAATCAAACATTTTTCATGAGGAATCGATAAACCTTTAAAGATTCTCTTTTAACACATCGTCTTCATTACAACGTTTACGACCTCCATTGCAGTTATAAAAAGAAAAGGTGAAAGTGGGTCACCTTGCCTAACACTTTTTGTAATAGAGAATTCCTTGGTTGGGGACCCATTAACAAGTATTGATGCTCTTTATGAGTCAAGACATCCTCTGATCCAAATTCTCCATTTCTCACCGTATCCCATTTGAACTAGGATCAAATCAAGATATTCCCAATTGATAGAGTCAAACGCCTTATCGAAATCCACTTTGAAGAGTACACCTTTCTCTTCGCTCTTTTCGCCCAAGAACAAATTTCATTAAAAATTAGTGATGGAGTCAAGACATCCTCTGATTCACATTCTCCCCTTCACGGGCCTCGTTTACGAGTCTCATCCAAGCTAGATAACAATAACGATCGCGACTCAAACCAAATAAAAGAAGTAGTACCTTCATAGTATTACGACCCTTTCCTGTAACGGTCAACTCATCCTAACGGATACTACAGCCAACCTATAGTATTGCCATACTTCCACAATAGCCATTGGCCTAGCCTATGGTCTTGCGGACCATCTATAATGTCGATCCAAAATCAATCATGTGCTGAAACCTCATACTGCTATACCCCAATCAGGTGTTCGGGTCGTGCTTCGAACCCCAAAGCCTTCATCAGATAAGAATATGCAGAGACATTCCAACATAACCATTAACCTGAACCTAGTTCCGAACCCATCATGTGTCATTACTGATGCTTCACACCCTTGGACAAGATAACATAAACCTTCCGCATCTGCTTCCCTGATTACAACCGAACAATGGACATTATTCTAAGCCTAAATTCCGACTCATGCCACCACCATAATTGACTCTTCCAACCTCATTAATCCAAATGACTCTCCTTTACTTGGATTCAACTGCACTCTGCCAATCTCATAACCATTGGATTTCCAAACCATCTTCCCAACCTCATTACTCCATAATTATCATCATAGGCTTATAAGAATCAAGATCCCAAAACAAAAAATCCAGGGTACACCCACCCTAGAACCAGGTTAAACACTTTGCTGCTCTTGATGAATGTTTGTTGCATCCCTAACACCTTATCCTGATATAATTCCAAATCTGTGAACAACCTCAACTGATGAAAAAGAATAAATAGATCTAATATCAGAACGAATAGATAACTAATCCATCAATTCACTACTACTGAGCAAAACTCATGTGAACATGCATCAACTACATCATGAATGTATGAATCTGACAAAAACTATCCTTACAACCACTATTTTACTAGTCCTTCATTGCCTCGCAACCATGAATGATACCTACGAATCCCACATTCAAATCCAATATGCTCACACTACAACTTCCTCAGACTCTTTGCTAAAACCATCAACATAAATCTGGATGCTGATCCTCCAAGAAGAACACTTAGTCTTCCTCCATTTAAGGATTACTCTATCATTGGCTGATTTCTCCCATTTCGATGCCTAAAACCGACTCATCTAAATATCCTCTGAGCACATCTCTCGATATATAAAATGGCATATGACAACTCTTTGAAATATAACAACTAGAAAATCATAAAGAAATTATGATCCTTAAGTGGAGACTTAATTACACCAAACATGTCGTCTCAAACACAATCACATGATCATAAGCATTGATAAATAAATAAATCATGAAGGAAGTAAATACGATACATACCTGCAACAATATCTGATGGAACTCGGGTCTCCTTGACATATATTTGAAAAGATTGACTCCTCACAACTGGAGCCTCCACTCTGCCCTCACGACCATTAGTAATCCTCAATGTGGATGGAGCA